CTTTTTTTTTGAGATGGAGTTTCCCTCTTGTTACCCAGGCTGGAGTGCAATGGCACGATCTCGGCTCACCGCAACCTCCGCCTCCTGGGTTCAGGCAATTCTGCCTCAGCCTCCTGAGTGCTGGGATTACAGGCATGTGCCACCATGCCCAGCTACTTTTTTGTATTTTTAGTAGAGATGGGGTTTCACCATGTTGACCAGGATGGTCTCCATCTCTTGACCCTGTGATCCACCCGCCTCGGCCTCCCAAAGTGCTGGGATTACAGGCTTGAGCCACCGCGCCCAGCCCCAATTATTTTTATTTATTTTTTTAATTTTTGTATTTTTTATTAGAAACGGGGTTTCACCATTTTGGCCAGGCTGGTCTCAAACTCCTGACCACGTGATCCACCTACCTGGGCCTCCCAAAGTGCTGGGATTACAGGCGTGAGCTACCTCACCTGGCCCTGCATCCCACTTTTTTTTCTTTTTCTTTTTTTTTTTTTTTGAGACGGAGTTTCGCTCTTGTTACCCAGGCTGGAGTGCAATGGCGCGATCTCGGCTCACCGCAACCTCCGCCTCCTGGGTTCAGGCAATTCTCCTGCCTCAGCCTCCTGAGTAGCTGGGATTACAGGCACGTGCCACCATGCCCAGCTAATTTTTTGTATTTTTTTTTTAGTAGAGACGGGGTTTCACCATGTTGACCAGGTTGGTCTCGATCTCTCGACCTTGTGATCCACCCGCCTCAGTCTCCCAAAGTGCTGGGATTACAGGCTTGAGCCACCGTGCCCGGCTATTTTTCTTTTTTTTTTTAATATTAAATACTGGGAGGCTGGGCGCGGTGGCTCACGCCTGTAATCCAAACACTTTGGAGGCCAAGGCGGGCGGGTCACCTGAGGTCGGGAGTTCAAGACCAGCCTGACCAACATGGTGAAACCCCATCTTAAAAAAAGATATATATATACATATTAAAGACGGTGTTTCACCATGTTGGTCAGGTTGGTCTTGAACTCGTGACCTCAGGTGACCCGCCCACCTTGGCCTCCAAAGTGCTTGGATTACAGGCGTGAGCCACTACACCCGGCCCCTGCATCCCACTTTTAAAGACTGTTAGGGGGAAAAAAAAATTCTTCAGCATTGCCTGGGTTGGAAAAAAAAAACAAAACTGTTAGGATTACAGTGGGTCCACCCAAATAATCCAAGATAATCTCCTGAACTCATCAGCCTTAAATTTTTATTTCTTTTTTTTTTTTTTGAGACGGAGTTTCGCTCTTGTTACCCAGGCTGGAGTGCAATGGCGCGATCTCGGCTCACCGCAACCTCCGCCTCCTGGGCTCAAGCAATTCTCCTGCCTCAGCCTCCTGAGTAGCTGGGATTACAGGCAAGGGCCACCATGCCCAGCTAGTTTTTTGTATTTTTAGTAGAGACGGGGTTTCACCATGTTGACCAGGATGGTCTCGATCTCTCGACCTCGTGATCCACCCGCCTCGGCCTCCCAAAGTGCTGGGATTACAGGCTTGAGCCACCGCGCCCGGCCCAACTTTTTATTTCTAATTTTTTTGTCACAGTGTCTTGCACTGTCACCCAGGCTGGAGTGCACTGGTGTGATCATAGCTCACTGCAGCCTTGACTTCCTCGGATCAAATGATTCTTCCACCTCAGCCTCCCAAGTACCAGTACCTGGGATTACTGATGTGCACTACCACACCCAGCCGTTTATTTTTTTATTTTTTATTTTTATTTTTGTGACAGAGTCTCACTCCTTCACCCAGGCTGGAGTGCAGTGGCACAATCTCAGCTCACTGCAACCTCTGCCTCCCAGGTTCAGGCAATTCTCCCACCCCAGCCTCCAGAGTAGCTGGGATTATAGGTGTATGCTACCCTGCCCAGCTAATTTTTATATTTTAATTAGAGATGGGGTTTCATCATGTTGGCCAGGCTGGTCTCGAACTCCTGACCTCTGCCCATCTCAGCTTCCCAAAGTGCTGGGATTACAGGAGTGAGCCATTGGGCCTGGCTTACCTTTTAAATCTTGTTCTAACTTCTTGAGCAGAAACGCGGCCCCTTGGCTGGGCATGGCGGCTCATGCCTGTTATCTCAGCACTTTGGGAGGCTGAGGAGGGTGGATCATAAGGTCGGGAGTTAGATACCAGCCTAACATGGTGAAACCCCGTCTCTACTAAAAAAATACAAAAGTTAGCCAGGTGTGGTGGTGGGTGCCTATAATCCCAGCTTCTCAGGAGGCTGAGGGAGGAGAATCACTTGAACCCAAAAGGCAGCGGCTGCAGTAAGCTGAGATCGTGCCACTGCACTCCAGCCTGGTGACAAAGGCAGACTCTGTCTCAAAAAAAGAAGAAGAAAGAAGAAGAAGAGGAAGGAGGAGGAGAAGGGGGGGAGGAGGGGGAGGAGGAGGAGGAGGAGGAGGAGGAGGAGGAGAAAAAAGGAGACAGAGGCCAGAAAGATGGGGGACAGAGATCAGAGACAGGGAAGATCAAAGACCATGAAACAAATGGAAACAGACGCAGACAGGGGGAAGAGATACCTAGGCGGAGAGGGGGACACAGAAATCCAGGGGACCAGAAAGAGCAGGTGTGGTGAGGTGGCTTAAACCTGTAATCCCAGCACTTCGAGAAGCCTAGTATGGTGGATTGGCTGAGCTCAGGAGTAGGAGACCAGCCTGGGCAACACAGCAAGACCCCACCTATAGAAAAATTACCAAAAATAGCCATGCATGGTGGTTCACACCTATAGTCTCAGCTACATAGAAGGCTGAGGTGGGAGGATCATTTGAGCCCACAAAGTCGAGGCTGCAGTGAGCCGAGATTGTGCCACTGCACTCCAGCCTGGGCAACAGACTGAGGGGGTGGGGGAGGGGGAGGGAAAGAGGGAAGGAAGGAAGGAAGGAAGGAAGGAAGGAAGGAGCTGGTGCAATGGACGGGGAGGAAGGGAGGGGAAGAGGGAGAGAGGGAGTGGGGGAGGGAGGGAAGGAAGGAAGAAAAGGCCAGCGTGATGACTTAAACCTGTAATCCCAGCGCTTTTGAGAGGCTGAGGTGGCGGATCCCTTGAGGTGAGGAGTTTGAGACCAGCCCAGCCAACGTGGTGAAACCCTGTCTCTACGGAAAATGTAATAATTAGCTGGATGTGGTGGTGGGAGCCTCTAATCCCAGCTACTCAGGAGGTGGAGGCAGAATAGCTTGAATTGGGAGGTGGAGGTTGCAGTGAGCTGGGATCACACCGCTGCACTCCAGTTTGAGTGACTGTGCAAGACTCTGTCAAAAAAACGAAAGGAAGGAAGGAGGGAGGGAAGAAGGGAAGGAAGGAAAAGAAAGAAACAAAAGAACAAAGAAAAGAAAGAAGGAAGGAAGGAGGGAAGGAAGGAAAACAGGAAGAGAAGAGAGCCAGGATTAGCAGGGCGTTCTAATCCTTAGCGCCTCTCTCCACACCGCCAGCAGAGGGCGACCGCGATCCCTTCCCCGGGAGGCGCGATGACCGATCCCCTCCACTTCGCCCAAGTCCACTTGATGGGGCTATTTTTACGCAGTGTCACCGGACACCAGTGGCCAGAAGGCCACCGTCTGGTCTCTGCGCCCTTCGGTTCCTGAGAATGACCCTGTGGCATCTCCCCGGCCCACACTCCCAACCCCCGCCCATTGCAGTCCCGCCCAGCCTTCTCTGCGAGTCACAGCACAGCTCAGGCCCCGCTGAGTCTCAGAATGTCTGGCGTAGAATCCAGGTGGAGACTTTCGGGCCAACTCTGGGGAGAGAATGGGGCGTGCGTGTACACACTTTGTGGTTTACAGCTGCCAGAGTGATCCTAGGACGGGACAGCCACCGGGACTGTGGCGAGACCGACCTGGAGTGAGAGGCAGAGCTGCAAACCGGCGACTCCAGGCAGGGCGCGGTGGCTCACGCCTGTAATCACAGCACTTTTTTTTTTTTTTTTTTTTTTTTTTTGAGACGGAGTTTTGCTCTTGTTACCCAGGCTGGAGTGCAATGGCGCGATCTCGGCTCACCGCAACCTCCGCCTCCTGGGCTCAGGCAATTCTCCTGCCTCAGCTTCCTAAGTAGCTGGGATTACAGGCACGGGCCACCATGCCCAGCTAGTTTTTTGTATTTTTAGTAGAGACGGGGTTTCACCATGTTGACCAGGATGGTCTTGATCTCTCGACCTTGTGATCCACCCGCCTCGGCCTCCCAAAGTGCTGGGATTACAGGCTTGAGCCACCGTGCCCGGCCCAATCACAGCACTTTGGGAGGCCAAGGCGGGCAGATCACTTGAGAACAGGAGTTCGAGACCTGCCTGGCCAACATTCTATATATATATAATCTATATATATATAATATATTATATATATTATATATATTATATATATATGCGCGCGCGCGCGCACACACACACACACACACACACACACAAATTAGCTGGGCGTGGTGGCGCCTGTAATCCCAGCTACTTGGGAGGCTGAGGCAGAAGAATCGCTTGAGCCCAGGAGGCAGAGGTTTCGGCAGTGAGCCGAGATCGCGCTACTGCACTGCAGCCTGGGCGACAAATTCAAACTGTGTCTCCGGCAGGACGTGGTGGCTGACGCCTGTAATCCGAGCACTTTGGAGGCCAAGGATCACCTGAGGTCGGGAGTTCAAGACTAGCCCAACCAACCTGGTGAAACACTGTCTTAAAAATAAATAAATAAATAAATAAATAAATAAAGGGGAAAAAAAGAAACTGTGTCTCCAAAAAAGAAAAAGAAAAAACAGGCGACTGCAACCGAGGGCTCAGATTCTCATAAAAAGAGACGAGACACACGCACACGGAAACCCGGAGAGAGGCAGACAGGATCCTGGCGGCAGAGGGACTGAGGGAAAGGGGACCCCGGGGCGGGAAAGGCGCAGAGCCCGAGCGGGTGGCGGCGGCGGCAGCGGGGCAGCGCGGGTGTCCCGGCAGAGGGCGCGCGGTCGCCCTGTCGCCCTCCGCCCCGCCGGGGTCACGGCGCCCCCTCCCCCGCGCCCTGGCCGCTCTGCCGGGCTATTTTTACGCGCGGACACCGGACACCGGACACCGGGCTGGGGCTGGGGCGGCGGCGGCGGCGGCGGCGGCCGAGGCGGGGCCGCACCGGGCCGGGCATCGGGGCCACACGTCCGTTCGCGGGTCGCCGGGGCTGCCCGCGCCATGGAGCCGCGGTGCCCGCCGCCCTGCGGCTGCTGCGAGCGGCTGGTGCTCAACGTGGCGGGGCTGCGCTTCGAGACCCGGGCGCGCACGCTGGGCCGCTTCCCGGACACGCTGCTCGGGGACCCCGCGCGCCGCGGCCGCTTCTACGACGACGCGCGCCGAGAGTACTTCTTCGACCGGCACCGGCCCAGCTTCGACGCGGTACTCTACTACTACCAGTCGGGCGGGCGGCTGCGGCGGCCGGCGCACGTGCCGCTGGACGTCTTCCTGGAGGAGGTGGCCTTCTACGGGCTGGGCGCGGCGGCCCTGGCGCGCCTGCGCGAGGACGAGGGCTGCCCGGTGCCCCCGGAGCGCCCCCTGCCCCGCCGCGCCTTCGCGCGCCAGCTCTGGTTGCTCTTCGAGTTTCCCGAGAGCTCGCAGGCCGCGCGCGTGCTCGCCGTGGTCTCCGTGCTGGTCATCCTCGTCTCCATCGTAGTCTTCTGCCTCGAGACGCTGCCTGACTTCCGCGACGACCGCGACGGCCCGGGGCTCGCCGCGGTGGCCGCAGCCGGCCCAGTGAGAGGCGGGGCGTGGGTGGAGGCGGGCGGGGTTTGGGAGGAGATGGGCGGGGTCCGGGGGGACCTGGCCAATCATAAGGCGGGGCCAGGGGCTGCGAGGGGTGGGTCAGCCAAAGACAGGGTGGGCTGGAGGCGGGGCCTGAGGATCCCAGTCCGAGCACCTGCCGGGTCAGAAGGTGGGGTTGAGGTCGGTGAGAAACCCCGCGTGCCGAGGGCAGGGCCCTTGGTGCATGGGGTAGGAGGACAGGAGCATTAAAAATCAGAGCTGGGGGGGCCAAGGAGAGCCTGAAAACTCCGGGGTCTGTGCAGCTGGGAAGGATGGGCTGGGGTTGATGAAAGGCAGGCCCAAGAACACTGCTGAGGGTGCTGGAGCCCAAGGGGCAAGAGTAGGAGGAATCCATGGAAGGAAAGCCGGGCTGAGGGACCAGAGGAGGGGCCTAGGGCTTGGCTTGCAGAGAAGGTCTTTTTTTGTTGTTTTTTGAGACGGAGCCTCGCTCTGTCGCCCAGACTGGAGCGCAGTGGTGCAATTTCAGCTCCCTGCCACCTCCACCTCCCGGGTTCAAGCGATTCTCCTGCCTCAGCCTCCCGAATAGCTAGGACTACAGGTGCATGCCACCACGCCCGGTTAAGTCTTTTTTTTTTTTTTTTTTTTTTTTTTTTTTGAGATGGAGTTTCGCTCTTGTTACCCAGGCTGGAGTGCAATGGCACGATCTCGGCTCACCGCAACCTCCGCCTCCTGGGTTCAGGCAATTCTCCTGCCTCAGCCTCCTGAGTAGCTGGGATTACAGGCACGCGCCACCATGCCCAGCTAATTTTTTTTTTGTATTTTTAGTAGAGACGGGGTTTCACCATGTTGACCAGGATGGTCTCGATCTCTTGACCTCGTGATCCACCCACCTCAGCCTCCCAAAGTGCTGGGATTACAGGCTTGAGCCACCGCGCCCGGCTCCAGTTAATTCTTGTATTTTTAGTAGAGACAAAGTTTTACCATCCTGGCCGGGCTGGTCTCGAACTCCTGACCTCAGGTGATCCTCCTGCCTCGGCCTCCCAAAGTGCTGGGATTACAGGCGTGAGCCACTGCACCTGGACGTAGAGAAGGTCTTTAAGCGTAATAATCTGGGCTGGGATTGGGGAAGGCAAGGAATAGCTAGGCAGGAGGTGGTGGGGCCAGGGCAGGGGCCCTCCCCATCTAGAAAATCAACACTGGAGGTGGGACTTTGGGAGAGGAGAGGTTGCACCCTACTCAGACATAAGTTCCCACGCATGAAGGGGCAGGGACCACCTCTCCAGACACCAGCAGGTCAGGAAACCAGAAAGTTCATCCAGGGATGATCCCTGGGGTCCTGGGAGGAAGTCTGGGACATCCAGGTCACTGGGGACATCGGTGCAGCGGCTACTGACCAACGTGTAAAGAGGAGTTGGGTATTTAAACGATGATTAAGGCTCTCCCAGTGTCCCAGCCCTGGCCTGGCCCTCCCTGAACACTTTCCTCCCTGCAGTTCCCTGCTCGGCTGAATGGCTCCGGCCTAGTGCCTGGAAATGCGCCCCGCCTGCCCTTCAATGACCCGTTCTTCGTGGTGGAGACGCTGTGCATTTGCTGGTTCTCCTTCGAGCTGCTGGTGCGCCTCCTGGCTTGTCCAAGCAAGGCGATCTTCTTCAAGAATGTGATGAACCTCATCGATTTCGTGGCTATCCTTCCCTACTTTGTGGCGCTGGGCACCGAGCTGGCCCGGCAACGAGGGGTGGGCCAGCCGGCCATGTCCCTGGCCATCCTGAGAGTCATCCGATTGGTGCGCGTCTTCCGCATCTTCAAGCTGTCCCGGCACTCCAAGGGCCTGCAGATCTTGGGCCAGACGCTTCGGGCCTCCATGCGTGAGCTGGGCCTCCTCATCTTTTTCCTCTTCATCGGTGTGGTCCTCTTTTCCAGCGCGGTCTACTTTGCGGAAGTCGACCGGGCGGACTCGCATTTCACCAGCATCCCGGAGTCCTTCTGGTGGGCAGTGGTCACTATGACTACAGTCGGCTATGGAGACATGGCACCCGTCACTGTGGGTGGCAAGATCGTGGGCTCTCTGTGTGCCATTGCCGGCGTGCTGACCATTTCCCTGCCTGTGCCTGTCATTGTCTCCAATTTCAGCTACTTTTATCACCGGGAGACAGAGGGCGAAGAGGCCGGGATGTACAGCCATGTGGACACGCAGCCTTGTGGCCCATTGGAGGGCAAGGCCAATGGGGGGCTGGTGGATGCGGAGGTACCTGAGCTACCACCTCCACTCTGGGCACCCCCAGGGAAACACCTGGTCACCGAAGTGTAAGGGACAGTTGAGGTCTTCGGGACCTCACACCTCCTTAGAGGGAGGGAGGGAGGGCAGGGTGGAGGGAACGGCTTGTGGGAGGGATTGGGTTTAGGAAGAGCTAGGTTAAGTGGTAATGAGCGGGAGAACGGAGTCTTGCTGGGTCTTGGATGGTATGGTTCGGCAGCTCCTGTGGGCACCTCCTTAAACAGCAGCGAATGGCAGTGGGTTGTGTTGTGTTGATGAAGACTCGATCGGTTCATATTACACTGAGTTGCACAATGCTCGTGGAGCCTTGTGGGGTGGTGTCGAGGTAGGTTTGGTCATATCATTTTGTGAGTTTCCTGGGTCGATGTTGGGTTTGGGTGGGTTGTGAGTCTGGGTGAGTGTTGTCCGGCTGTATTCCGTGGGATTCTGTGGTTTGGTGGGTCCCCTGGGGCCATGGTGGGTCAAGTTAGATGGCCCCCCGTGGCATCACTGGGATTGATTGTGCGGTCAGACGTGGTGCTGAGTTTCGTTGAGACGTGGTGGAGATTGTGCAGCTTCGTGGTTGTTCTAGGGCCATGTTATTTTAGGTTCTGTGAACTTGTGAGTCATGTAGAAATGTGAAGAGTCAAGTGATAGAATTTGAGCTTTCTAGGTCACATTGGGTTACGTGGGTATGACCGAATGCATCTCGTAGGGTTCTGTTGGGCTGAATTGTGTAGAGGTGTGCGGCTGGACATTTTTCAAGGCCACAGGGAGTCGAGTTGGGTTGAACTGCACAACCCTATGAACCTTGTAAGGCCAGTTCAGTTGGGTCACCCCACTGTTTCAATCTCACGGGGCCATGTTGAGTTGAGTTCCATTGAGTTGTATCACTATGTGAGTCCTATATGAAGCTGGGTTGAGTTGGACTGTGTGAATGAGCTCCACAGGGCTACATTGGGTTGTTTTGAGTTTCATGGTAGCACCAGGACCCAAAGGTAATAGCAGCGGGGGAGCATCATATAATCAGGGAGCAAATGCAGTGGCGAGGGCTGTGGGAGACGTACTGAGCTGGCTCCCCAGCTACTGCAGGAGGCGGGACTGCATTCTGTATCCCTGGGTTTGGGTGTTCATCAGAGCGATCGGGGTGAACTAGGAAGAGGTGGATGCTCCCCCCGTTTATCCACATCCACTTCGTTGTGCCGTTCACCCTATTCTCCCCTACAGTCTTACAGAATCAAAAGGATAGGGAGAGAGACCAGGCGAGGGATAGAGACCCAGAAAGAGGAAGAGATGGAATCCCAGAGAGACAGAGACCCAAGGCAGAGGAACAGAGACTCAGGGAGAGGGAGACAAGGACCCGGAGGGGCGGTAGAGCAGAGATGCAGAAGAGGGGAACAGAAATGCAGAGTGAGAAGGGGACAGAGACCAAGAGCAGGGGATAGAAGCCGGGTGAAGTGGCTCACGCCTGTAATCCCAGCACTCTGGGAGACCAAGGAAGGGGGATTGCTTGAGGCCAGGAGTTCAAGACCAGCCTGGGCAACATGGCAAGGCTCTATCTCTACAAAAAATACAAAAATTAGCTGAGTGTGGTGGCCTGTGCCTGTGATCCCAGCCACTCAGGAAGCTGAGGCAGGAGGATCTCTTGAGCCTGAGAGGTAGAGGCTGCATTGAGCCAAGATTGCACCGCTGCACTGCACTCCAGCCTGGGGGACAGAGTGAGACCCCCATCTCAACAAACAAAAAGAGTGGGGGGCTAGAGACCCAGAGGGCAGTGTCAGGCTACCAGAGTTGGAGACAGATCAACAGAGTCTCAGGGAAAGAGAACCAAAATAGAAAAAGGCAGAAAAGCCAGGTGCGGTGGCTCACGCCTGTAATCCCAGCACTTTGGGAGGCCGAGGCGGGTGGATCACGAGGTCGAGAGATCGAGACCATCCTGGTCAACATGGTGAAACCCCGTCTCTACTAAAAATACAAAAAAAAAAATTAGCTGGGCATGGTGGCACGTGCCTGTAATCCCAGCTACTCAGGAGGCTGAGGCAGGAGAATTGCCTGAGCCCAGGAGGCGGAGGTTGCGGTGAGCCGAGATTGCGCCACTGCACTCCAGCCTGGGTAACAAGAGGGAAACTCCGTCTCAAAAAAAAAAAAAAAAAAAAATTAGCTGGGCGTGGTGGTGGGCGCCTGTAGTCCCAGCTACTCAGGAGGCTGAGGCAGGAGAATCGCCTGAACCCGGGAGGCGGAGGTTGCAGTGAGCTGAGATCGTGCCATTGCACTCCAGCCTGGTGACAGAGCAAGACTCGGTCTCAAAAAAGAGAAAGACAAAAAAAGGCAGAAAAAGTTGGTGCCCCTGAACCCAAGAGTAACGCACAGTCTCTATTCCATAGAACCAGAGTGACCCTAAACCAGGCGTGTAGCCCACCCTCCCTGCAACTCAGGAAGGCTGTCAGACAAGCTGGGGGCCTCACTCTGTTTTCCCGGGGAACCTGAGTCTCAGACCAGAGGAGTGGCTTCCCAAGTTCTCACAGCTTGTCCCCAGGGGCCAGGCAGGCTGTCCGTCTGCTTCACATGTCCCCGTCAGCCTGCTGGGACACACAGGTCCTCCTGAGTCCCATAGCCTCCTTTCTTACAGACAGGGAAACTGAGGCTCAGAGGAGTGTGTGTTACCCAAGGTCACAAGGCTGAACATTTTCAGAAGTCTTTCAGAACTCAAAGGGCATTTAAGGGAGGAGGAGGAGGAAGAAGGTTGAAATCAAACACATACAGGGCTTCCTTTGGCACAAAGTTCTTTACTTGGATTAATTTATTAAAACCTATCCAGTGGTTTAGAGTGTTGGTGTTATTTTTAGCCATACCCACCCCTTTTTGGGGTCAAATAAATCTTCCTCAGAGACGCCAGTGGGAAGCATCAGAAGGGAAATGGTTGGAGGAGAACATGCCCCCTCTGGAATTCCCGTGGAAAGCCCTGGTTTTGTCTGAGTGCCTTTCATGCAGCTAAAGAGATGAAGGTACAGATGGTAGGAAGAGTCTGATCATGGCTGAAATGAATAGAAGTTTTAGGTAGTCACTCGTCTATGAAATGGAGAGAAAGCCACATTTAGGGACAGAATGGAGATGGACCTCACAGTGACAAGAGACAAGGTGGACTCCAGCACAGAGACCTAAAAGAGAAGGAGACTCAGAGAGGAACCCAGGTCCGGGAGGGAGGAGGGGCTCAGAGCAAAAGAGAGAAAGCCAAGGGCGAGGGGGAAGAGGACAGATGGCGAGGAGGGGGGCAGAGACCCCCCACGAGGGGAAAGGGAAGCAGACTAGTGACCCCAACAGAGAGGATGCAAGAGCCTCAGAGAGGAGACTGGGACCCAGAGAGGTTGGACAGATAACCAGAGAGAAGAAAACTAGGACCCAGAAAGTGGGGGACAGACCCAGAGAGATGGGGGGACAGAGACCCAGAGAGAGAGGGGCACAGAGACCCAGAGAGATGGGGGGACAGATCCAGAGAGATGGGGGACAGAGACCCAGAGAGACGGACACAGACCCAGAGACTAGGACCCAGAGAAAGAAAGACAAACCCAGGGTTGGAGGGAGACAAATCCAGAGAGGGGGACAGAGACTGTTTCCCAGTCACTCTGGAAACTTCATACCTACTATCCCCTCCAGGACTAGAAGTTAGAAGCCAGAGTCCTCCTGCTATGTGGCGGGATGCATTGGGTGTTGAGGGACGGGAAAGTGTGGAGAAGTCTGAGAGGTGACCTGAACACACACCCAAAGCCTGGGTACTGACCCTTCCCCTCCCCCGCCAATAAGTAACTGGAGCGGCCTTGGCTGTCGCCCTGGCTGGGACGGTGAGGAGCAGGAAACACCCTAACCCGGGGACACCCTCCTGCCACCTTGCCATGCTATATTTAGGCTGGGGGGAGGGGGTGCGGGATGACCCCCGAGGCAGGTGTCAGTTTTCCTTCTGAAAATAGCGGCAGGCATAGGGGAGCAGAGTCTCAGCGTGGAGGTGTGATGGGGTGAGGGGGCCCCCCGCAGACCTCTCGTCTCCGGAGACACTCCAGCTCCGGTCCCATCCCTGTCTTTCTGATGGTCTCTCTGGGGCTCTGCCCTCACTCTCTCTGGGTCCCCGCTCTCTCTAGCCTTGGTACCCCTCTTTCTCTGGGTGTCTCCCCACTTCCCCATGCCTTCTCCCATCTCTCCTTCATCTGTCACCGTGCACCATTTCTGGAAGCAGTTCATTCTGTTCTTAAGACACATCTTTGTTTACCTCTGGGCCCTCCGATACCCTGCAGGTCTCTTATCTGAGCTCAGGACAAGACCCTCTCCCCGGTCCCCACCCAGGAAATTCCAGGGGAGAGGAGTATGCGGGAGCCCCCACATCTACTGTCTCCCCGGGCCTGGGGCCTTATCGCTGCCCAAGCCCAGCTGGTTAATGTCTAGCGTGGAGCTCCTGGGAAGTGGGGAGGAGAGCAGAGGGTGGGAATCTGCCCCGGGATTGACACGCAATTGGCAAAAGACGGCAAAGGAATCTCAGGCCCAGACTCCTGGGGCTAACGGAGGAGGAGGCTGGGGGCTGGACTCCAGAGTCTGAGACGGGGCGGGGTTGGGAGGATGGTGGGGGGAACTGTGGGCTCCGTACTCAGGCTCCTGGGGCCGGGGAGAGAAGTGGCTGGGGTCGCAAGTCCCGGGTCTGAGGGAGGAGGGGCTGGGGGCCTGGGCTCCTGGGTCTGAGGGAGGAGGGGCTGGGGGCCTGGAGCCTTGGGTCTGAGGGAGGACGCGGCTGGAGGCTGGGACTCCTGCGACCGAGGCGGCCGGGCTGAGCGAGCCAGGCCTGACTTCCAAGGTCCCGGCACGCGTGTGCAAGGCAGGATCCCCCGGCCCCTCCTCCGCCGTCGGGCGCCGCCCCGCCCCCGCCCCCGACCCGGGCCCTGCCGAGCGAGAGCGGAGAGGAGCCGGCGGGCCAGCGGGCGTCCCTGCAGCCAGCGAGCAGGAGGAGGAGCTGCCGCCGGGCCGAGGGCAGCCGGGGGAGCCGAGGAGGGCGCCCCAGGTAAGAGCTCCGCGCCTCCTCCCCCGGGATTCCGGTGGCCGGGTCGCCCTGCCCTCGGGTGGGGAGGGGCAGGGGCGGGGCCGACGGGGGCGGGGCTTGGCGGAGGAAACTGAGGCAGGAGGGGACGTGTCCCAGAGATGCAGCCGGCTTCCCCCAAGGGGTTTCAGGAGTCCAGACCCCCAACCCAAATCTGGAGGATGAAGAACCCGGAGTCCGCATGTCTCAGTACCCGAGAAGGAGAAGCCTGAATTCCAGAACTCGTGGGTCTGAGTGGAGGGCGCTGGGGGCCTGGACTCCTCCTGGGTCTGAGGGAAAAGGGCGCTGGGGACCTGAACTCCTGGGTCTGAAGGTGGAGGCCCGGGATCTGCACTCCTGAGTCAGGGAGAAGGCGGTCCTGCTTGGGTCAGCCTGCGCCTTTCACTCCCCACCCTTCCCCTTTCCCTACCGAGGAGCCAGGGCAGGCAGCCACTCCAGGTATGTGCAGAAGTCTTGGGCGGGCCCTGGCCTGTCCTGTGAGGAGGGAACATTCCAGGAAGCAGCTTGGGGACCCAGGGCTTCTTGAGTGTGGGCCCTCAGGGACCCGGGTGTCCAGGCCAGTTCCGCCCCATCTGGGAGATGAATGGGCCGGGGCAGGGGGGATGTAATCTCTTCTAGCTTCCTTCATCCACTGCCTCTCCCCTCCCCTCCCTCCATCTGCTTCCCATCCCAGCCAGGAGCCATCACCTGGTTAGAAAAGGGGCCTCTGGAAAGGGGGCGGGGCCTTGACTCGGGTACCCTGCGCTTGAAGAGGCATTCTGGGAAGAGGTTTTTCAGGGATCCCGCCCCTTCCCCACCTGCCTCTATAACCTGTTTGTTCTTTTCTTCTCCTAGGTGGTTGCCCCCTCCCTCTCCTGAGATGTCAGGAAGGAGGGGGCCACCGGTGTCCTCCACAGGGGCCCCCCGAAGCCTGGGGGCTCCCAGCCCCAGAGCTTGGAGGTGGAGGAGGTATTGACAGGTCTGGTCACCACTGGCTGTTTCCCGGTCTTCTACACAGCACCCTTTCCCAGAACCACAGGCTTCCAGAACCATGCAGAGAAACTGCAATATCCATGCCTCTACCTGGCTCTGACCCAGTGCCCGGTCAATTTCACACACAGGGAAACTGAAGCCTGCCTCAGACGGGCAGGATTTTACCTCCTTAGTAGCAGTTTTGAGGTGAACTGGGATCTTCCTAGGATTCCAGATTGTGGCCTTTCTCAAAATTTTGGAATGTGTCCAAGGCGTGGGAGCTTCAGTCTGTAGTCCCAGCTACTCAGGAGCTGCAGCAGCAGGAATGCTTGAGCCCAGGAGTTCAAGTCCAGCGGGGAACTATAAAGAGACGTCATCTTAAAAAAATTTGTTTGGGGCCAGGCGCAGTGGCTCATGCCTGTACCCCCAGCACTTTGGGAGGCCAAGACAGGAGGATCGCCTGAGATAGGGAGTTTGAGACCAGTCTGGCCAACGTGGTGAAACCCTGTCTGTACTAAAAATACAAAAATTAGCTGGGCATGGTGGTGGGCACCTGCAATCCCAGCTACTCGGGAGGCTGAGGCAGGAGTTGCAGTGGCGCAATCTCTGCTCACTGCAACGTCTGCCTCCGGGATTCAAGTGATTCTCCTGCTTCAGCCTTCCGAAGCATGCCCAGCTAATTTTTGTATTTTTAGTACAGATGGGGTTTCACCATGTTGGCCAGGCCGGTCTCGAACTCCTGACCTCAATTGATCCGCCCGCCTCAGCCTCCCCAAATGCTGGTATTACAGGCGTGAGCCACGGCACCCTGACCACTAGTAGTTGAATATTAATTATTAATCTACAAGCTGGGCATTACACAAGTCCTCGATATAGGGTCCTTCAAAATTCTGGAACAAGGGCTTCCCCACAGACCTAGCAGGCAAGCCTCCCAACTTGTCTCCCTGCTGATGTTTTTACCCTCTTCTCTAATCCCAGCCTCCCTCTGTCTGTCTCCAGGTGCTCCAAGAGATGCTCCCTCTGCCCTCATGCTCCCTCCCCATCCTCTTCCTCGCCCTCCTCGCCGGTGTGCCCATGGAGTCCCAACCCCCACCCTCCACATTGCCCCCTTTTCTGGCCCCTGAGTGGGACCTTCTGTCTCCCCGAGTGGTCCTGTCTAGGGGTGCCCCTGCTGGGCCCCCTCTGCTCTTGCTGCTGGAGGCTGGGGCCTTTGGGGAGTCAGCAGGCACCCCGGCCAACCGCAGCCGGCGTGGGGTGAGCGAAACCGCACCAGCGAGTCGTCGGGGAGAGCTGGCCGTGTGCGACGCAGTCAGCGGCTGGGTGACAGACCGTCGGACCGCTGTGGACCTGCGTGGGCGTGAGGTGGAGGTGCTGGGCGAGGTGCCTGCAGCTGGTGGCAGTCCCCTCCGCCAGTACTTCTTTGAAACCCGATGCAAGGCTGATAACACTGAGGAAGGTGGCCCGGGGGTGGGCGGAGGGGGCTGCCGAGGTGTGGATCGGAGGCACTGGGTGTCTGAGTGCAAGGCCAAGCAGTCCTATGTGCGTGCATTGACTGCTGACGCCCAGGGCCGTGTGGGCTGGCGATGGATTCGAATTGACACTGCCTGCGTCTGCACTCTCCTCAGCCGGACTGGCCGGGCCTGAGGCCCATGCCCAGGAACTGGTCAGGCAGGCAAAGATCAGAGTTGGATGCTGAGATACCTCAGGGGTGGCCCAGCTGCTCCAAGGACTCCAGTTTGGGAGCTCATCAACTGATCACAAAATCACAAGTCTCTGATTTTGAGCTCAATCTGTGCAGGATGGGTGAAACCACATGGGGTTTTGAAGGATGAATAGGAGTTCTCCTGGAGGACCTTGAGGGCAATAATGATGATGGTGATAATAATAACAGCCAATATTTACTGAGTGTTTTACTGTTTCTTAGTCCTAATACATAACTCCTCAGATCAACTCTCATGGATTTGATCATTGGTGGCCCTTGGGGTTAAGTTGCTGACTACTCAGTCTCCGAGGACACCACCTTGCTCATCCTGGAGAGGGGGAGGGGACATTTCAAGATGTGGGTCAGGGAGGATAGAACCTGGAACATGCAAGCAGCTGGCCAAGGGACCTTGAGCATATGATCCACAGTAGGCCTTCAGGGGTCTGGAGTTCAAATGGGAAATCTTATTTGGTGAGAGAACACAGGGGTTGGCTTAGAATATTCTGTTTTGAAGTAATGAGCCACCCATCCCAGGGGGAGTACAAGCAAGGTTGAATGAGAAGCGATCAGGATGCTGGAGAGTTCAGCCCCGGGCAGGGAGCTGGAATCAGGTTTCTACCCCTCTTCCCTGTCCCAACCTTTACCCTACATTGGGAAAGAAATAGATCTCAAAATTGTCCAGCCTGATGGTCAGGCACCGTGGCTCATGCCTGTAATCCCAGCACTTTGGGAGGCCGAGGTGGGTCCTGACTCGAGGTCAGGAGTTCGAGACCAGCCCGGCCAACATGGTGAAACCCCATCTCTACTCAAATTATTTTTAAAAATTGGCTGGGCATGGTGGCAGGCAGAAGCTACCCGGAAGACTGAGGCAGAAGAATTGCTTGAACCTGGGAGGCAGAGGTTGCAGTGAGACAAGGGCATGCTATTGCACTCCAGCCTGGGCAAAAACAGCAAAATTCCACCTCAAAAAAAAAAAAAAAAAATTGTCCAGCTTGAGTGGGACATGAGGTTCTAACTGGTCTGCCCCCTGGCTAGGATCAGGGGCCACTGGGCATCAGCAGCCTTTGAGTGGGGCCAGCAAAATCCAACAGAAGGGGACCCAGAATCCTCAGTGGGGGAGGAAGGATCAGTAAACTTCTGGGCCTGGCCGCAGAAGGTAGCCTCAGTTTTCCTGGTCTGATGAATGGGCTGGTGGGATGAGATAATGGGGCTCGAGGAGGCAGAAGCCTTGGCCAAAAGCTTTTTTTTTTTTTTTTTTTTTTTGAGTCAGCCTCTTGCTCTGTTGCCCAGGCTGGAGTGCAGTGATGCGATCTTGTGATCTTAGCTCACTGAAACCTTCGCCTCCCAGGTCAAGTGATTCTCTTGCCTTAGTTGGGATAACAGGGGTGTGCCACCATGCCTGGCTAATTTTTGTATTTTTGTGGTAGAGGCAGGGTTTTGCCATGTTGGCTGGGCTGGTCTCAAACTGCTGACCTCAAGTGATCTGCCTGCTTTGGCCTCCCAAAGTGCTGGGATTATAGGCGTGAGCCACCGCACACAATGACCAAAAGCTCTTTATAGTGAAGAAGTGACCAGGGAAGCCAGGGACAGACCACATGCAACACACGCACACACACACACACACACACACTCTCTCTCTCTCTCTCTCAGGTCCAGCGTCCAGCTTTGAGCAAAGGACATAGGCATCCCCTCCCCCGATCTATATAGACCAGGCTCCTAGGTGGGGTGGGGCCTGGCTGCCTCGGTTTCTACATCTCCTTTTCCATCTGTGATTTTGCTCTTTTTTGCCACCTTCATCTCTGCCTCTAACTCCCGGTGTCTCTCGCCTCTGGATTAGTATTAATAGCTTTCTTCCCATCAAGGTCAGTTTCTTCCCCACTGTCTCTCCCCTTTCTTGTTATATTTCTTTCTCACTCATCGAAGCTCTTTCCACACACCCCTCTTTTTTGCTATGTCCCTGTGCACTTCTCTGTGGGTCTCTCTATCTTTGCCCACCCTGCCTACCCAGGTGGAAATTTTCAACCAAATCAAAGGCAGGCAGGAGAGCCGACGCCAGCCTGACTCCTTCAGCACGTGCGGGGAGGGTGGGGGAGCCCCGGGACGTCTGGAAATCGTTACCTCGAGGTGGGTAGGCCTGGCAGAGGGAGGAAGCAGCACGGAGCATCTGGACCCTGGAGGAAAGGGAGGGGGTGTTTCTCATGGATGCCTGGATGTGCTGGATGCAGTGCAGGGTCTCTGCCTGGATCTCTGACACGCCCAGGTCTCTATCCGTCTTTCTGGGTCTCTGTCTCCTCCGCCCTCTGGGTCTTTGAAATTCTGAACTTCTCCTTCCCGTTCTGCCCTCCTCGCTTTGAGTCTCCATCCCCCTCCCCGTGTTGTTCTGTGGCCCGCCTGGGGTCCCAGTCCCTCGTCTCTGCGTCTCTTTCTCACTCTTTCCATCCACATGCCTGCAGGCGCTTCATTGGCTGGGTTCAGGGTGGGCGGGTTCTGTCACCCGGGGCAACAGCAACAACAAGCCAGCTCCTGCCTGGCTCCGGGATGGGGGTGGAACCATGGCCGGTGGCACCCGGGCTCCGTGCTGTGGCTCCCCGTGGCCTCCCATCTCTGCCACCGAGGTGCCTGGATCCGGGCCCAACGGGAATCTCACCAGCAGCTGGGTTGCCCACCGCATCATCCCACCCGCGCCCTTCCCCCCGCCGACGGTGCAGGTGCGCGGACCCCAGGCTGAAGGGGGGCCCGAGGACCTAGAAAGCTGGGTGCTGAGTAAAGGGGATTGGGGGCTTGGACTCCTGCCTGAAGGAGGAGGGTCCAGGAGTCCTGGGTCTGCGAGAGGAGGCGCCAGGGAAGCTGGATGCCAGGGACTGCCTAGGAAAGGATCGGGGGCCAACTGGAAGAGGTCAGAGTTTGGGGTGGGGGTTGATACGGACTCCTGAGTCTTTCTAGCTCATGTGCAACACCTTCTCTCCAGTCCACGGTCGCGGACCCTCTACCCCCGGCTGCAAAGCAGGATTCGCACATCTGGGCTTTCGACGAGGTCCTCAGCAGATGGGAGACAACCTCTGGCTCGGCCTATGTGCCCAAGACCCATGGCGGGCCCTGCGCCCAGCCCAGAGCCCCAGAGCCTGCAGACCCCACGCGGACTGTGGGGATCAAGGATTTAGGAGAAAAGGCAAGGTTTGGGGGGTGTCGGAGTCAGCAGGGGATAGGCAGGAGACTGCATTTCAGTCCCCTGCGCCATCACTTGGGTCTCCCGGTCACCTCTCCGCAGCTCAGACACCGCGGCTGGCGCCTCCCACTGACCACAAAATACCAGAGCAGCGAGACGAAGGCGCAGTACACGGGCTATCCCGGCCGGGACCCACGCGCCCCCGAATACGTCGGGCTCCAGCCCCCGCAGCTCGCAGACTATCACCGAGGGGGGCCTTCCCAGGTGGCTGGATGAACCTGCGCCGGCGAGACGGGGCGGAGCTCGGGGAGCCTGGGGCGGGGCCAGGAGGAATCACGGCCTTGGGGCGTGGCTAAAAGGTCCTGGGCGGGATCGGGAGGTTAGGGGAGCCTAGGGCAGGGGCGGGGCCTCGAGGCGGGGCCAAAGGACCAGTGGGCTGGACACTCGCCTTTCGGTGTCAAGCTGCGGCGAAGCTAGGCGGCGGGCTGTGGATGGGGACGAGACTAGAATATTCTGAGACAGGGTCGGGTGGGAGTTGGGAGAGGTAACGTGGAGTTGTTGCCCCAGATGCGGCTCAGCTCCAGTGGCCACACCAAGAAGGCTTGGGGCCGGGGGCGGAACCGGGGAGGTTTATTTGGTGGCTGGGGGCATGGGTTTGAGTTCCTTGACCAGCAGGACGTGTTTGGATTTGGGGAGGTGAGGCTGGGAAGGGCGGGTTTGGGGAAGAAAGCTTTAGTGACCTGGCGTGGGTGGCAGAAGGGCTCTGCCTCTGGGGCGAGGTGCGAGGGCCGGGGCCCGCAGGGCTGTTGGGGCCAAAAGAGAGGAATTCTGAACCCGGGACGGAGGGCTTGGAACGAGGTACAAACTCTAAGTCTTGGATACGCCTCCTCCCCCAATCTTCCTCAGGCTCTAATCCCCTGGTCGAAGAACCCTGAGCTGTCTGGCTGGCCTTTCATAGTATCCGACCGGGGCGTCCTGGCCCGCCGGCAGCTCTATCTGACCACCTCGGCGCGGGACTTTCGGTTCTATCCCAAGTAAGCCGGGCCTTCGCTCGACACCGCCTCCGGCACAGCCCCAGCCTAGACCAGTGCACGCCAAGCCCCGGGTGTGGCTCCCGTTCTCTGACTCGGTAGCCTCAGCCTCAACTCCTGCACCAGCAAGAACCAAAATTCAGGCCCCAGCCCCACTTTTTTTTTTTTTTTTTTTTTGAGACGAAGTCTCCCTCTGTCGCCCGGGCTGGAGTGCAGCGGCGGGATCTCGGCTCACTGCAACTTCCATCTCCCGGGTTCTAGCGATTCTCTTGCCTCAGCCTCCCGAGTACCTGGGACTACAGGCGCGCGCCACCACGCCCAGCTCATTTTTGTATTTTTGGTAGAGATGGGGTTTCACCATGTTGGCCAGGCTGGTCTCGAACTCCTGACCTCGTGATCCGCCCGCTTCGGCTTCCGTACTGAGATTACAGGCGTGAGCCAAGGCGCCCGGCCAACTTTTTGTATTTTTAGTAAAGACGGGGGTTTCACCGTGTTAGCCAGGATAGTCTCGATCTCCTGACCTCGTGATCCGCCCGCCTCAGCCTCCCAAAATGCTGGGATTAAAGGCGTGAGCCACCGCGCCCGGCCGCCCCTCCCTCTTTTAGCAGCCAGGAATCTTTAATGTCAACTCTCAGGAACCGCGGTAGGGACAGAGGGGATTCTGCATTGGAGGGCAGGGCCTCCTTCGGTACTTGAGCCCCAGACACTCCTTCCCAAGGAAGCGAAAGCCCCCGTTTCCTTCCCTAGGATGGGAAAGCTCAGTTTCCAGGACCTTAAGTTACCTCGAGGACCCAGGAACCCAGGCTACGCCCGGCCCCGTCCTTCCTAAGGGGTCCTCACCTCGAAATGCAGGAGTCTGTGTGCAGACTCCTTAGGTCCCGGGGTCTGAACCCCAAGGATCTAGCTGTATCCTTACCGTCCTGCCATGCTCCCACAGGAAGGAGCTGTCGGGATACCCCCGCAAAGACTCCCTGACTTACTGGAGCTTCGAAAAGATGCCCCAGGTCTCGGGGCACGGACTGCAGCAGCCGCCCCGACCGCCACGGGTCCGCGTGCCCCGCGCCCGCCCGGTGACTCTGGCTGTGCCGCACCGCGGGGCCTTGTCTCTGGCTCAGGAGTCCTACAGTCTCCCGTTGCACCCACTCCGCTCGCTCGACCGCTTCTGCCCGCTGGAGGCGCCCTGGGGCGGCCCCCACTGGAAGCCCCTGCCGGGCATCCACGCCGTGCCGAAAGCCTACAGCACCGAGAACTCCAGCTACGGCAGCTTAAAGCCGGCGCTGGTGTGAGCCGGCCGGGCAAGCCCCGCCCCGGACACGCCCCCTGGGCACAGGGGCGGAGCCGATCCGGGAAGACCCGGATCCGGCTCGCTGGGCGGAGCCGAGCTCAGGAGCTCCGCCCACTACGCGGGGTCTCGACCGAGCCTGGGTCACACTCACTGAGTCTATCGGCAATGTGCGGGCGGGACTAGCCCAGACACGCCCCGCGGCTTCGTGGGGAGGGGGCTAAGTCCAGAAAATGTTCATGCAGGCTGTGGCCCCGAGGGCAGGCACGCCCCCTGCGGGTGTTTTAAATAATGAGTTAAATAACGTGAACCACGCTCATTTCTGGAGACTGCTCTGGGCTTCCTGGCTGAGAGTGGTGTGGGAGAAGGTTCCTAAGGGAGAGGTGGGGCTCCGGCTGAATCCCTGTTTGGTGAGTATCTGGGTCCAGCGGCTCCCCTCGCAGCAGTCTCGCGGAGGCCCTCTCGGACTGGGCAGAAGCTAACACCGAAGCCGCGGCGCTCCTGGGAATCTGGACTGTGGTGCAGGAATGGCTCTGGTGGAGGTGAGTTGACGCTTCAGTCTAGTACCTTTCTTGGGTCACGGCCTCCTCCTGGCTCCCCCGCCTCAGGAAGAGACAGGGCGAGGCCTTTCTGTACCCTACTTCCTGTGCCTCCAACCCCGACTCAACTGAGTCTCTGAGGTCACTTCATCGTGGTCTCCGGGAGAGGGCTGGAGCGCTCCACTGAGCCCCTGCTGCGTCTCCCTGGCCTTGTCCGCCTCCCGCCCCCGGGGGGATTAGTGTCCAGGTTACCCCAGGATGCTAACACCACCTGGTGGCCTTGTCGCCCCCACAACCCCGAGGTATAAAGCCAGGTACACGAGGCAGGGGAGGCACCAAGGATGGAGATGCTCCAGGTAAGACTGCAGGGCCCCTGGGTACCTTCCACCGCCCTCCAGGCCATCACTGGCATGAAGAGGGGCAGAGTCGTGTGAGCTGGGGAAGGAGGCCTTTTTCTGGAGGGGTGTGACTCTGCAGTAAGCTTCAGGTGGAGAAGTCCCTGAGGGTGGAGAACTGAAATGTTGGGCTGGGGGTGGGCTCTGAAAGGCAGGTGTCTGGGTGGCAGGTCCTGAATAAGACATGCCAGGCAGGGTCCCTGGGTCCTTGAGGGTGGTATACCCCTGGGGATGGGCCAGGGCTCAGGGCTTCAGTCTCAGGCTCGGCTGAAGCACCGGTCTTGTCCCAGGGACTGCTGCTGTGTCTGCTGCTGAGCACAGGTGGGGCATGGGCATCCAAGGAGCCACTTCGGCCGCCGTGCCGCCCCACCAATGTCATCCTGGCTGTTGAGAAGGAGGGCTGCCCTGTTTGCGTTCCCTTCAACACCACCATCTGCGCCGGCTACTGCTCCAGCATGGTGAGCTGCCCGGGACCGGGGGCAGGTGCTGCCACCTCAGGGCGGGGCCCACAGAGGCACTGGGGAAGGGTGTCTGGCTCTCTGGGCAGGGGCTGGGAAATGGGGCTGGAGGGCAGGAACAGATGGCTTCCTGGACATGAGTCTGGGACCTGTGGAGGGGGCTGGGGTGCTCAGCTGAGGTGCTGGCCCCCAGACACATGCCCACTCTCCCACCCACATGGCCTTAGGTACGAGTGATGCAGACCTTGCCGCCCTTACCCCAGACGGTGTGCAACTACCACGAGCTGCGCTTCACCTCCGTCCGGCTCCCTGGCTGTCGGCGCGGCGTGGATCCCGTGGTCTACATGCCCATGGCTGTCAGCTGTCGCTGTGCACTCTGCCGCCGAAGCTATTCTGACTGTGGGAGTTTCAGGAACGAGTCCCTGGGCTGTGACTACGCCACCTCCCAGGACTCTTCCTCTAATGTCCCTCCCAGCAACCTTACAAGTCCATCCCAACTCCTGGAGCCAGCAGTCACTCCATTAGTCCCACAATAAAGGCTTCTCAATTCGCATTCTGGGGGTGTCTTTCTCTGGAATCAGGGCAACCACACACACACACACAGGGTGGGTCCAGCTTCAAAACAACTTTATACAAAGTCACAGTGTCAGAACTCTGGTAGAAAACAGGGTGGGGACAGGGGTGACATCCAGCTCAGGAGGTATCCATGGTCTCGCCTTCTATGGGGAGAAGGAAGGCCAAGATGGTCAGTGTGGCCCAGAGGGCAGGGCCTGAGCCTTCTAGGCCGAGCTCCCTCTTCCTCCCTCTGGGGGTGGCACCGGCAGTGCAAGTACGGGGTGGGGACGCTTACTGAGCTCATTGAAGAGGAAGGCGTCCTGGTACTCCTTCATGTACTGCGTGGAGCGGGACTCGTCCAGGAAGAGTGAGTAGACCCGCTTGATGTCGTCCACCTGCACCTCTGTGCCCTGGAGCGGGAGGGCAAGTCCTCAATGGGGACCCTTCTCATGAAGCCCACAGCACAGACCCCAGCCTATGCCACCTCCAGCTCCAGGCAGTAGCGGGTAGCAGGTGAGGGGAAGGCATTCGGGGCCAGACTGCCTGTGTTCAAATCCTGCCTGGCTGTCCACTGGGTGTGGGCCCAGCCTCTTCATTCCTGTTTTTTTCTTTTTTGAGATGAAGTCTCAAATCATGCCCAGGCTGGAGTGCAGTGGAACCATCTTGGCTCACTGCAACCTCTGCCTCCCAGATTCAGGCAATTCTCCTGCCTCAGCCTCCTGCGTAGCTGGGACTATAGGCGCATGCCACCAGAGCTGGCTAATTTTTTGTATTTTTAGTAGAGACAGGGTATCATCGCATTAGCCAGGCTGGTCTGGAACTCTAGACCTCAAGATTTGCCCGCCTTGGCCTCCCAAAATGCTGGGATTACAGGCATGTGCCGCCACCACCACATCCGGCCTCCTGTTTCTTTATTTGTAAGATGGACCTAACAGCATCTACTGACAGTCAACAGATATTTACTGAGCACCTACTTTTTTTTTTTTTTTTTTTTTGGCATGAAGTTTTGCTCTTATTGACCAGGCTGGAGTGCAATGGCACAATCTCACTGTACCCTCCGCCTCCTGGGTTCAAGTGATTCTCCTGCCTCAGCCTCCCGAGTAGCTGGGATTACAGGCATGTGCCACCACCCACACAGCCTCCAGGCGAATTTTTTGTATTTTCAGTAGAGATGGGGTTTCTCCATGTTGGCCAGGCTAGTCTGGAATTCCTGACCTCAGGTGATGCGCCCGCCTCGGCCTCCCAAAGTGCTGGGATTACAGGCATGAGCCACTGCACCTGGTCTTACTGAGCACCTACTACAGGCTAGGCCAGGTGATACAGAAATCAGCCTGAGGAATGAAAATTCCCTGCCCCTGAAAATGTACATTCTATGATGAAACATGGAACCCCCTGGAAGCCCTTGAAATAGTGCATCACTCGCTCCTGCCGGCCATCTGGCCCTGCTAGCGAATTCGGCCGGCTGACCTTGCGTTTCCGGCACACCAGGCTGGCAGCCGTGATGAGCTGGATGGCATAGCGCAGTGACGTCTCCAGCCCGATGCGGGTCAGCACCGTGTAGGCGTCCTCACTCATCTCCACATCTTCCTCCTCACACCTGCAGGCAGTGGGGGCGGGATGGCTTAGTCCGGGCCTGGCCTCTGACTGCAGCAGGAGTGGCGCAGCCACCCTCTGGCCCTTCCCCGCTGGGAGTGTGCGGTGCCTGCATCTTAGAATCACAGAATGCTGAGGCTGGAAGAGCTCTGGAGACGGGCTGGGCTGGAACTAAAACCAAGGGCTCCTGACCCCACCCAGGGAGCTGACCCCCACACCAGTCACGGCATCTCACCTCCCTTCCCCACAGTGGCACCTGCCCCCAGATTGGAGGCCATTCGGCCCTCTCTCCTGCAGGCCCAGCAACCATGCCACCCCCCAGACATCAGTGTCGGCATTTGTCCCACAGGGTGGCCCCCAGCCCTCCCTCTCAGGCACATGGCCTGGTCCTGCCCGCACCGGATGCGGAGGATCTGCTTCGTGTCCTTCTCGCTGTAGGGGGTGGTGGAGACGATAAGCAGCCGGTCCAGCAGGTCGATGGGGATGCCGTGGGGGCTCTGGTAGCTGGTGCCCCGGATCCTGTGGAAGAGGCAGAAAGAGGGGCTTTCAGGGTGATGTTCCCTCTTCATTCCCTCTGCTGGAAACACTCCCACCTTACACCACCACTCACTCGCTCGCTGGGCCAAACACCACTTAACCTTTAGCTTGTGCCTCCTGTCACCTGCTGACATCACCCTCTGATGGCGAAGCCTTCCACAATGGTGTCAGCCCCCGCACTGGCACTCTTCCAGAGCTGGGCTGCCTTTTTTTTTTTTTTTTTTTTTTTGAGATGGAGTTTCGCTCTTGTTACCCAGGCTGGAGTGCAATGGCGCAATCTCGGCTCATCGCAACCTCCGCCTCCTGGGTTCAGGCAATTCTCCTGCCTCAGCCTCCTGAGTAGCTGGGATTACAGGCACGCGCCACCATGCCCAGCTAATTTTTTGTATTTTTAGTAGAGACGGGGTTTCACCATGTTGACCAGGTTGGTCTCAATCTCTCGACCTTGTGATCCACCCGCCTCGGCCTCCCAAAGTGCTGGGATTACAGGCTTGAGCCACCGCGCCCGGCCCGGGCTGCTTTAAGCTAGATCTCTGCCTCCAAGATTACTGGATCGAGCCCCCGACTCCCGTGCTGGACATAAAGCTCCACAAAGGAGGGGACTGCGCGTGTCTTGTTCCCTGCTGCAGTGGGGCCAGCCCAGGGCTGGTGCCAGGGGATACAGCTAGGTCTCCTTATTCACAGTAGTGAAGTTCCAGAAAGTCACCGTGAACACACCAACTAGCCAATCGTCAACGATTGCTCCTAGTGGAATACAGGGCTAAGTTCTCAAGCCCCTAGTCACAGTATTTTCATCAAGCAATATACATGTAACCTTGGTCTATGTGTGTTTTCATTTAAGTGTGTTTCTAGTTTTTTCATTTGTTTTTTTTTTTTTTTTTGAGACAGAGTTTCGCTCTTCTTACCCAGGCTGGAGTGCAATGGCACGAACTCGGCTCACTGCAACCTCCGCCTCCTGGGTTCAGGCAATTCTCCTGCCTCAGCCTCCTGAGTAGCTGGGATTACAGGCACGCGCCACCATGCCCAGCTAATTTTTTGTATTTTTAGTAGAGACGGGGTTTCACCATGTTGACCAGGATGGTCTCGATCTCTCGACCTCGTGATCCACCCGCCTCAGCCTCCCAAAGTGCTGGGATTACAGGCTTGAGCCACCGCGCCCGGCTCTCATTTGTTTTTTTGAGTCTCTGTCACCAGGCTGGAGTGCAGTGGGGCACTCTTGGTTCACCGCAACCTCTGCCTCCCAGGTTCAACCAATCCTCCTGCTTCAGCTTCCTGAAACTACAGGCGTGTGCCACCACAGCCAGCTAAATTTTTGTATTTTCAGTAAAGACCGGGTTTCACCATGTTGGCCAGGATGGTCTCGATCTCTTGACCTTGTGATCCAACTGCCTCGGCCTCCCAAAGTACTGGGATTACAGGCATGAGCCACTGTGCCCGGCCTCATTTCTGTGTGTCTATTATGTAATATCACTGTTGATTCTCTAACATGGAGCTCATGCCAACAGCATTCTAACATGGGCTCAGCAAAGTGTCTGCTATTGCCTCTGTCAGGCTAGACAGCAATTCAGCACAGTGTTCAGGGAACATTTCACACAGTAAAATAACCAACATATTAAAAAAAAAAAAAAAAAGGCACAAAAAACTGACAACACTTTGGGAGGCTGAGGCAAGCAGATCACTTGAGCCCAGGAGTTTGGGATTAGCCTGGGCAACACGGCGAAACCCCACCTCTACAAAACATACAAAAACAACAGCAAAATAATAGGCCGGGCGCAGTGACTCATGCCTGTAATCCCAGTGCTTTGGGAGGCTGAGGTAGGCGGATCACATGAGGTCAGGAGTTCAACACCAGTTTGGTCAATATGGTGAGACCCCATCTCTACTAAAAACAGAAAAATTAGCCAGGCATGGTGGCGGGTGCCTGTAATCCCAGCTACTCAGCAGGCTGAGGCAGGAGAATTGCTTGAACCCAAAAGGTGGAGGTTGCAGTGAGCCGAGATGACGCCACTGCACTCTAGCCTGGGCAACAGAGCGAGACTCTGCCTCAAAACAAAAACAAAAACAAAGATTAGCCAGGCGTAGTGGTGCACACCCATGGTCCCAGCTACTGAGGAGGCTGAGGACAGAGGATTGAGGCCAGGGGTGGGGGGTGATGTGTGTGTGTGTGCGTGTTTCTGTGTGTGGTGGGCATTGAGGCTGCAATAAGCCACGATCGTGCCACTGCACTCCAGCCTGGGTGACAGAGCACGACCCTGTCTCAAAAAACAAAAGCCACAAACGTAGTACTCAACAGAATACAACGCGGACACTTACGACACGAGAGCTAAAGGAAGCAGACAGGCTGGCCTCATCCACACTCAGCTGGGAAAGTAGGTGTCAGGTGACTTGAATGTGTTGCCCAAAAGCAGGGCAGATATTTATTTGGGAATTAGAATGAATCTTAGCAAGTGAACAGATTCTCAAATGCGGAGTCTGTTAACAATTGGGCTACCCTTCGCTGCCGTCTCTGCATAGGAGGTGCCCTGGGCAGTCCCCAGGCCTGACCTGCAGCCGCTTCGAGCACACCGTCCGCCCTGGGGGTCTCTTCCAGTGCCCTGCCACCCAGAGACCGAGTTTGGACCTTGCCACCTTCTGGGCAAGTCACTGGGCCTCACTGTCCTGCCCTGTAAAATGGGGCAGAGGTGATATCTACCTTCTGAGCTTCTGAGGATCCAAGGAGTTAAAAGAGCCAAACCCAGAGCCAGGCACAGCGGCCCACCATCCTCTGTAGGATGCCCACTTCTTCCCCCCCTTTTTTTTTTTGAGACAAGAGTCTTGCCCTGTCACCCAGGCTAGGGTGCAAAGGCATAATCTTGGCTCACTACAACCTTCATCTCCCGGGTTCAACTGATTATCCTGCCTCAGCCTCCTGAGTAGCTGGGATTGCAGGTACATGCCATCATGCCTGGCTAATGTTTTGTATCTTTAGTAGAGACGGGGTTTCACTATGTTGGCCAGGACGGTCTGGAACTCTTGACCTCATGAGCTGTCCGCCTCAGCCTCCAAAAGTGCTTGGATCGCAGGTGTGAGCCACGGCACCCGGCCCGCTTCTTCCCTTTTGTGATGCACGCCCCAACTGCCCAGTTTCGGGGCCCATGGCTGCAGAGCTGGGGCTGACAGTCCCTAGCCTTCCTCAATGACAGGTACGGTCCTGAACCCGAGCAGTGCCAGGCAATGGGATGTGGGTAGAAATGCAGGGTGCAGCCTGTGGACTGCCGCCTATGGGGGCTGCCCGCCCTCCACATCCCCCTCTTCCTGTGGGCGAAAATGTGGACGAGGTAGAGAAGAGAGCCAGCCGGGACAACACACATGGGGGAGCAGAGGTTCGCAGGCTGCAGCAGAGCTCTTGACTCTGCGTCACCGGAATCTGTCCACGGCATTCTTACGCCAAACACAGCACTAAAGAGTTCTGTTGATGAAGTAGTTGGGTCGAAGTGACTGGACCATTGTAGTAGTTTATGTCGTGTCTAACAGATGTCGCTCTGCTTCCCTCAAGATTAAAAAACAATCCCACAGTACTCTTGTGAGTTTCCCGAGCACCCTGGGGTGCCTCAGCATGCAGTTTGGAAACTGCAGGCTTTGAGGCTGAAGGAGCAGAAAGACAGGAGACAGGACAAACTCAGTCTCTGGGCTTCCTCGGGGAGCAGGGCTGCCTCCTGCCTGCCTTGTTGAAGGGAAGAGCACACACCCAAGTCACGGGTCCCTCTCTGACCAGGGTCAACACATGCTCACTGTTGACCCTCTGGCCGCACCTGCTGCCCAGAGCATCCCATTTTCCCCAGAGGCCCCTGGCGCCGGCTCACCGTGTGATGCCACGGTTGGTGGCCATGATCAGGACAGGTGCCATGTCGCTCTCCAGGGCGCGGTTGAGGAAGGAAAAGCTCTCAATGTCCAGCATGTGGACCTCGTCGATGAATAGCACCTGGGATTGGGGCATGTGTGAGAGTCATCACCTGTGCCCCTGCTGCCCCAGTCCACCCTCACCCCGCCACCTGCCCCGGCCACGTCCTGGGTCCTCACCCCAGGGATGATCTCCGCCTTGCCCTCCTCGCGCCACTCGGCCACCTTGGCATTGATCTGCTCTCGAACTTCAGACTTGATCTCTCCTGTGTCACCTATGGGAGGTACAGGTTGCATCAGGGAAGTCAGAGAGGCGGGCTCCAGGGCCGGAATGTGGCTGAGACGGAGAAGGACAGATGCCAGGGATGAATGAGGGAGAGCAAAGCAAGGAGGGGCGAAGAGCCCGCTATGTCCCCAGAGAGGAGGAACAGAGGCAGAGAAAACAGGCGAGAGGGCAGGCACCACCCCCATCACAGCACCACAGAGGGACTCAGACAGCAACAGCGGGGCAGGAGGAAGCGGACTCACAGGTGAAGAGAGGCAGCCACGGGCCTGAGTTACAGGAAAGGCCGTGGAGCGAGTGGGCCACATTCGGAGCTCAGGGTCAGAGGGAACCTGAGGGAGGCTGCCAGGCCTGGGGTAGGGCAGGCGGGAGGGCCTCACCTGAGAAGAGCGCCAGGAAGCCCTGGGTGCGGGAGTTGATGACGTCGATCTCGTGCAAGGACACGGTGTGTACCACCTCCTTGCGTTTTTGAAGCTCCCCATCTGGGCACTGCACGAACTTGGTCTACGGGGCAGGGGTGGGGAAAGAAGGGAGACAAGACAGGGAAGGGCATGAAGGGCCCTAAAGGCCTCTGTCTGGGGGAGACTAGAGCGCTGGGAAACGGAGCTGGGAGGCCAGATGGGGTCATCTGGAAACCCCAGGCCCAGGAAGTAGTCAGGCCTAGGGGTGCTCCCGAGCGCTGAGGGTCATGGGGGCTCCTGGGGGACCTCAGAAGCCACAGGTAACATGGGGTGATGCGAAACTACAGTGCAGGCTGAGGGGTCCCAGCCATCCTAGGGTTACAGAGAAGACCCAGGAGTACCAGGGACAAAGAGTCAGGGCGACAGGAAGATGCAGACCCAGGGGTCACGGGGGTGATGGAGGAGATGAAACACCGAGTGCCACGGGCGGGGAGGGGTTCCTGGGAGTCCCGGCACACCTGGGAGCCCATAGCATCATAGTCTCGGGCGCGGGTGAAGGAGCGGCCCAACTTGGAGATCTTGCCTGTCGCCTTGTCGATGGTGATCACGTCCCTATGGGGATGGGGGGCGGGGTAAGGAAAGGCACGAGCCCGAGCTCCCCCATCCTCCCTGGCCACCTGGCACAGCCTGACTGCTCACCCAGCCTGGACCTTGTCCTTGGTCAGGGACTCAATCATCTTGGTGCCCAGGTCGTAGATGGTCTCCATCTCTGTCGTCTTGAGGGTCAGTTTGCCCACCTTGGACCCCTGAGAGTGGGAGAAAGTCAGAGAAGAGGCTGAGAGAGGGCCCTGATGTTGCCCCAATGCCCCCAGTGTTCATAAGCTTCTGGCCCTGCTCTGGCCTCTGCTTACCCAGCTTCAAAATGGGCATGATTCGAGGGAGCTCTTGGGGGGAGGGACAAGGTGTGCTCACCAGCCTGACGTGGTGAAGGCTCGGTGGTGAACATGTATGTCATAGCTGACCATACTGGACACTTACAATGTGTCCAGCTTTCTGTGTATCAATTAAAACTCAATTCTTTTTTTTTTTTTTTTTGCGATAGAGTCTTGCTCTGCCGCCCAGGCTGGAGTGCAATGGCGTGATCTTGGCTCACTGTAACCTCCGTCTCCTGGGCTCAAGCGATTCTCCTGCCTCAGCCTCCTAAGTAGCTGGGATTACAGTTGTGCACCACCAAGCCTGGCTAATTGTTTTGTTTTGTTTTGTTTTTTAATTAGATTTTTTTTTTAAGACGGAGTTTCACTCTTGTTGCCCAGGCTGGAGTGCAATGGCGCGATCTCGGCTCAATGCAACCTCCACCTCCTGGGTTCAAGCAATTCTCCTGCCTCAGCCTCCTGAGTAGCTGGGATTACAGGCTCCTGCCACCATGCCCAACTAATTTTTTGTATTTTTAGTAGACACAGGCATTCACCATGTTGGCCAGGCTGGTTTTGAACTCCTGACCTAAAGTGATCCACCCGCTTTGGCCTCCCAAAGTGCTGGGATTACAGGTGAGAGCCACTATCCGCAGCCAAAACTCAATAAAGCTCTTAATAAAAAATAGTAAACAAACAAAATGCCTAAAAAATAAAGCCTATTAAAAGCATAGCCCTGAGGTCTCACAAAGTGGCCAAAGGTCACACTTTGACATTCCTGTTTTATTTTTATTTATTTATTTATTTATTTATTTTTTATTTTTGCTCTTCAGGGTTGGAGATTCCTTCTTCAGGGTGATATTCCTATTTTATACCCAAATAAAAGGTGTTTTGTTGATAACAAAATCAGAAAACACAGCTAAGCAAAAAGATGAAAACAGAAATTATAAAGAAAAAATAAAAGGCTGAGTGTGGTGGCTCATGTCCGTAATCCCAGCACTTTAGGAGGACGAGGTGGGCAGATCACGAGGTCAGGAGTTCAAGCCTGGCCAACATGGTGAAACCCCATCTCTACTAAAAATACAAAAATTTCACCACCTCAGTTTCTATTGCTAAGAATGTCCTTCATGAGGGACAAGCCATTGCCAACTTAACTGATCCCCTACTATAGGCATGTACATGGTTCTTGTCTGCTGCTAGAACCTTCCACGGGATTCTGAGCTGGCGTCTCCTCTCTCCACCCCTGGTGCTGGAGGTGGCCTCAGCAGGGGGTCGATTCACAGACTCACCGTCCCTGTTGCCGGCCGATCAATCTGGATCTCCACCACCTCCCCTTCGATGATCTCCGTCTCCTCCCTGGCCAGAAAGCAGATCTGAGGAGACAGCCTGAGGCCTGAGCCCTCGCAAATCACAACCTTCCCCCAGATCTGGGACAAAGGACAAGCCGCTCAGGGCCCAGGGATTACCCCCAGGCTCTGGGGATGGCATCCGCCTCTCATCACGCGCGCTTACTTGATCCGAACGCCAATAGACCGCCGGAAGGCCTGCGTCAGTGCCTCGGTCTTGCTCATCTCCAGGGAGAAGATTTCACTGCCGGCAATGGCCGTGAACGGCGTGTCCGGGCCCAGGGCCTGCGCCATGCCTGGGGAGGGGACAGTCTGAGTAGGTGAAGCCACTGTGGCACCAGGCCCCTGACACCCGCTCTGTGGCAAAGCAGCTCTTCTTCCGCTCCAGGGAAGAGGTTTCAGTACCATCCGACCTGTAAAACCTTGGCTCCAAGCTGAGGAGAGCCTTGGTAAGGGGGAATTGGAGAGCGGGGTCCAGCCACGAGGCAGGCAGACAGGCAGTGAGAAGCCAGGGAGGGCAGGTTGCTCTGGCAGTCTGGGCTTAGAATCCTACATTGCCCAGAGGGTTCACCCTAGAGCCTTGCCACACCTCAGTCTCCCAGCCTCTACCAGCTGTTTAGCTTCAGAGCTGGGCGATGGGGGGAGCAGGGACGAAGGCCAAGGGGCCGACGCCAACGTTACAGGTGACGGAGCCAGGCTGCCTCGGTTCAGATTCCAGCTCCAACACCTGGTGCACCTGGTGCCATGTGATCCCGAGAGATCTCAACTGCTCCCTGAGCCTCAGTTTCCCCGTGTCTAATGGGGATGACAGCAGGTGCTGCCATGGGATGATACCCTGCTTAGGAGCGACTGTGGGCAGACAGGCACTGGTGCTCCGCTGTAACACAGTCACATGGCCTGAAACTGTCACAGGGCAGGGCGTGCTACCGCCTGTGGCCTGGGGTGGCTGGCAGCAAGCAGGGCTGTCTCCAGCAATGGCCCTAAGCCTCAAGGCTCTGTCAGTGTGGAGCACATCCTCACAGACAGGCTGGTGCAATACCCTCCTGCTCAGCGTCAAGCGGGAATTCTTCCTGGTCCCCTTTGTGGCCACACAATGGCCCTGATCACAGAACTCAGCAACTATCTATGGAGGACCAAGTGGACGAGCACTGCCCATGCCACCTGGGGACACCTTGGGTCCTCTCTGCCTCTTCCATTAGACTAAGGAGCATCCCCAGGACAAGGCTGCCCTCACCCCTGCCCAGCACAGGGTTTGGCGGGCAGGAGGCTTTGCCCAGGAGACACAAGAAGAGGAAAGGCAGGGCTGGGCGCGGTGGCACACGCCTGTAATCCCAGCACTTTGGGAGGCCGAGGCGGGCGGATCACCTGAGGTCAGGAGTTCAGGACGAGCCTGGCCAACATGGTGAAATCCCGACTCTACTAAAAATACAAAAATTAGCTGGGCGTGGCAACATACATCTGTAATCCTAGCTACTTGGGAGTCTGAGGCAGGAGGATCACTTGAACCCGGGAGGCGGAGGTAGCAGTGAGCCAAGATCATGCCACTGCACTCCAGCCTGGGCAAGAGAGCAAAACTGTCTCAAAAAAACAAAACAAAAACGCCGGGCACCATGGCCCACTTTGGGAGGCCGAGGCAGGCAGATCACAAGGTCAAGAGATCAAGACCATCCTGGCCAACATGGTGAAACCCTGTCTCTACTAAAAATATAAAAATTAGCCAAGCGTGGTGGCACGTGCCTGTAGTCCTAGCTGCTCAGGAGGCTAAGGCAGGTGAATCACTTGAACCTGGGAGGTGGAGGTTGCAGTGAGCCGAGATTGTGCCACTGCACTCCAGCCTTGTGAAAAAGCAAGACTCTATCTCTAAATAAATAAACCAGAAGAGAAAAGGATGGAGGGATGCAGGGAGGGAAGGCACTGTATGTGCCACATTCTGGGCCTAGACATGCTGCCCCCAGCATCAGCCCTGGAGCCTCCTGGGCATCCCACTACGATTAGCTCAGGTATCCGCTTTTCTGGAAGCCTCTCCCGACAAGTGCCACCACATGCTGTTTTCCTACCGAGGTCAGGAGCCTCCTCTGTCCCGTGCTACCTCCAACGTAACACATGTTGCCTTGGGAGGAATCGTGTCCATGACCGCCTCCTCCAGACCAGGAGCTCTTCGAAGTCAGGCCTTGATCTAACCCATCTATGGGTACCCGGTGTCCAGTCCGAGGCCTGGCTCCCCAAGGCACCCCAGAAGACACTGCTTTACCTTCGCTGAAGACCCACCTGGCTGTTATTCTGATTCTCCCTGCCTGGCCCCAGCCTAAGCACAGAGGTGGGAGTGAGTGGGAAGAGAGGCGGGTTAGGAAAGCTTCAGTGAGACAGAGATGCTCAAGTAGTTGGTTTGGAAGGACAGATAGGTGTTCAAGATGGAAGATGAGGAACAGCTGGGAGTAAAAAGATCATAAACCACTAGTGGATTGCAACAGAGACTGCTGGGGGTCTACTCCAGGCCCACCTTCCCCTGCTTCCTTAGTTCCAGAATCCTCATTTGCTTTCCTGTTTTTTAATTTTAATTTTTTTTGGAGACAGAGTCTTGCTCTGTTGCCCAGGCTGGAGTGCAGTGGTGTGATCTCCGCTCACTGCAACCTTCACCTTCTGGATTCAAGCGATTCTCCCTGCCTCAGCCTCCCAAATAGCTGGGATTACAGGCACCTGCCACCACACCAGACTAATTTTTGTATTTTCAGTAGAGACAGGGTTTTGCCATGTTAGCCAGGCTGGTCTCGAACTACTGACCTCAGGTGATCCACCTGCCTCAGCCTCCCAAAGTGTTGGGATTAGAGGCGTGAGCCACCGCAACCATCCTAATTTTTAAATTTTTACAAACTCTTGTCCAACAGAAGAATCCTCATTTTCTTTTTTTTTTTTTTTTTTTTTTTTGAGATGGAGTTTCGCTCTTGTTACCCAGGCTGGAGCGCAATGGCGCGATCTCGGCTCACCGCAACCTCCGCCTCCTGGGTTCAGGCAATTCTCCTGCCTCAGCCTCCTAAGTAGCTGGGATTACAGGCACGCACCACCATGCCCAGCTATTTTTTTTGTATTTTTAGTAGAGACGGGGTTTCACCATGTTGACCAGGATGGTCTCGATCTCTTGACCTTGTGATCCACCCGCCTCGGCCTCCCAAAGTGCTGGGATTACAGGCTTGAGCCACCGCGCCCGGCCGAATCCTCATTTTCTTAAGGCAAAAATGGTTCAAACTATGAAATAAAAAAGAAATGTAATGTCCCAGCCTCCCTTGAAGCAAAACGTGATCATGAGATTCAGTTCTAGTCAATGAGATACAAGCAGAGCATGGAAGATTTCCAAGGTGACTGGTTAAAGCAGGCGTCCCCAAACTACGGCCCGCGGGCCACAGGCGGCCCCCTGAGGCCATTTATCCGGCCCCCCGCCGCACTTCAGGAAGGGGCACCTCTTTCACTGGTGGTCGGTGAGAGGAGCACAGTATGTGGCGGCCCTCCAACGGTCTGAGCAGTGAACTGGCCCCCTGTGTAAAAAGTCTGGGGGCTGGGCGCGGTGGCTCAAGCCTGTAATCCCAGCACTTTGGGGGGCCGAGGCGGGTGGATCACGAGGTCAAGAGATGGAGACCATCCTGGTCAACATGGTGAAACCCCGTCTCTACTAAAAAAAAAAAATACAAAAAATTAGCTGGGCATGGTGGCACGTGCCTGTAATCCCAGCTACTCAGGAGGCTGAGGCAGGAGAATTGCCTGAACCCAGGAGGCGGAGGTTGCGGTGAGCCGAGATTGCGCCATTGCACTCCAGCCTGGGTAACAAGAGCGAAACTCCGTCTCAAAAAAAAAAAAAAAAAAAAAAAGTTTGGGGACGCCTGGGTTAAAGGAAGCCGACTTGAGAGGGTTTACCCTCATGGCAATTCCTCTTTCTTCCTGCTGCCTAGATTATGGTGGGAAGGCTGGAGCTTAGGCAGCCCTCTTGGAACACAACATCCTCTTGACACTGGAACCAAGTGCAGAGGATGATGAGGCAGGAAGATGGAAGACTTCCTGGGACTGCTTAGTAAGCTCCAAATGGCCTCCCTCTAGATTCTTCCATGGAAGAGAATGAAGCCTGAGTGTTTAAGCCACTGCCATTTCAGGTCATCTGTTAAATGCGGGTGATCCTGACCCTGACTTACACAGGAGGAGTTATCGAGCAGAGACCACGAGAGTTCCGGCCCTGGGAGGTTTCTTACCCATGGCGATGGCCGTCTTCCCTGTGCCCGGCTGGCCAGCAATAAGGACTGCCCGCCCAGCAATCTTCCCTTCCCGGATCATCTCCAGCACCACGCCTGCTGCCCGCCGTGCCGCCAGCTGACCCACCATGCCCTGGGAAGCCTGTGGGTGGGACGCAGCACATGAGGTGACTTCCTGCTGGGCTACACACCATTTCTACCACATCTTGGCTAGTGAGATGGAAGCAGTCATTACTAGCTGGGACTTTCAGGAAAAGCCAAAACAGCTTTCTCTGCTTTTTTTTTTTCCAGACAGGGTCTCACTCTGTCATCCAGGCTGAAGTACAGTGGTACGATCGTACAATCATGGCTCACTGCAGCCTCAACCTCTAGGGATCAAAATATCCTCTGACTTCAGCCTCCTGAGTAGCTGGGACCGCAAGTGTGCGCCACCATGTCCAGCTAATTTTTAAAATTTTTTATAGAGATGGGGTCTCACTATTTTGCCCAGGCTGGCCTCAAACTCCTAGGCTCAAGTGATCTTCCCACCTCAGCCTCCCAAAGTGTTGGGATTACAAATGGGACCACTGCACGAAGCCTAGTTTTTTTTTAAGGTGGCAAAGCAATGGCTACCCAATCCGAATTCTTTTTTTTTCTTTGAGATGGAGTTTCGCTCTGTCACCCAGGCTGGAGTACAGTGGCACCATCTCGGCTCACTGCAGCCTCCACCTCCCAGGTTCAAGTGATTCTCCTGCCTCAGCCTCCCGCGTAGCTGGGATTACAGGCATGCACCACCACATCTGGCTAATTTCTGTATTTTTAGTAAAGATGGGCTTTCTCCATGTTGGCCAGGCTGTTCTCGAACTCTGACCTCAGGTGATCCACCTGCCTCGGCCTCCCAAAGTGCTGGGATTACAGGCATGAGCCACCATGCCCAGCCTACCCAATTCTTTAGTACCAAGAAAACTCATGTGTGGCTGAAGTTTATGGATTCCAGTCAAAGGTCTGGAAGTTTCCAGTCAAAGGTCTGGAAGACCGTAACATAGTCCCCATACTCCCCAGGGCCCTGGGTACCCACTACCCAAGACCTTCGTGGAGAGGCCCTCACACCCCAGCCTCCTCTGCTCTACCTGCCGAGGCTCCAAGGCATCGTCCAGCCCCAGCCCTCGGATGTGGGAGTGAGCACCTGTATGCAGGGAGAGAACAGAGACTCAGTTAGCCAGCTTGCTGCATGTGTGGCCTGACATCTCTGAGCCCTGGTTTCCTTTTCGGTCAAAGGGGTGGGTGGGAGTAGAGAGTAGGGGCTTGGGGACATGAAGGGGCACAGGGAAGGATTTCCCAAGTTGCCACCTCACTAAGAAGATGGCTGAACGTGCTAAATGCTCAATGAACTGGAGTTGCTCTGAGGATGCATCCTAGTTAAACAAAAGTCACTGAGACCTGATTAAACACATACTTGTACCAAGAACTAACCACAAGGGCTAATGATCACAATTACTTTGTGTTTATGGCTTACACAGCACACACAGTTTCTCATTTCATTCCACATGACCCTGCAAGACAAGAGCCCTGGCCAGGCAGGGCGTGGTGGCTCAGGCCTGTAATCCCATCCCAGCACTTTGGGAGGCTGAGGCGGGTGGATCACCGGAGGCCAGGAGTTCTAGACCAGCCTGGCCAACATGGTAAAACCCCATCTTAAGTAAAAATACAAAAATTAGCTAGGTGTGGTGGCAGGTGACTATAATCTCAGCTACTCGGGAGGCTGCAGTGAGCTGAGACTGTGCCACTGAATTCCAGCCTGGGTGACAGAGCGAGACCCTGTCTCGAAAAAGCCAAACGAAACAAAAGCCCTGGCTGCTGTCACCCTGAAAGCACTTCTGGGTATCACTAGCAACAGTCCCAGCCCCCACTGATATGAACAAGGAGGGAGCTCTGAGAGGTGAGGTCTCATGCCCCAGCCACACAGCCAGCGAGAGGTGAAGATGAGATTCCAATGCTTTCCAAAAGATGAGGGTTGAATGAACCTCAGCCTGCAGGCCAGCCACCTGTTTCTGTAAATTAAATTAAAAAAAAATTTTTTTTATTTGTTTTATTATTATTTTTTTCCTTCTTCTTTTTTGAGACGGGGTTTCACCATGTTGACCAGGATGGTCTCGATCTCTTGACCTTGTGATCCACCCGCCTCGGCCTCCCAAAGTGCTGGGATTACAGGCTTGAGCCACCGCGCCCGGCCTCTAAAACTTTTTATTGTTTTTTTTTGAGAGAAGGTCTCACTCTGTCGCCCAGGCTGGAGTGCAGTGGTGTGGTCACAACATCTCACCACAGCCTGAACCTCCTTGGTTCAAGCAATCCTCCAAGTAGCTGGCACTCAGGCATATACCACCACGCCCGACTAAATTTTAATTTTTTTTTTTTTTTTAAGAGACAGTCTCTCACTCTGTTGCCCAGTCTGGAGTGCAGTGGTGTGATCTTGGCTCGCTGCCGGGTTCAAGCAATTGTCCCGCCTCCATCTCCCGAGTAGCTCGGATTACAGGCGCACACCACCACGCCTGGGTAATGTTTTGTATTTTAGTAAAAACAGGGTTTCATTGTGTTGCCCAGGCTGGTCTCAAACTCCTGAGCTCAGGCAATCTGCCCAACTTGGTCTCCCAAACTGCTAGGATTACAGGCGTGAGCCACCGCGCCTGGCCTTAATTTATTTATTTATTTTTTTTACAGACAGGGTCACACTATGTGTCACAGGCTGGTCTTGAACTCCTAGTTCAAGCAATTCTCCTGCCTCAGCCTCTCAAAGTGTTGGGATTACAGGTGTGAGCCATCGTGCCCGGCCATACTTGGCACTTTTTGTTTGTTTCTGAGATGGAGTCTCCCTCTGTCACCCAGGCTGGAGTGCAGTGGTGCAATATTGGCTCATTGCAACCTCCCTTTCCCAGATTCAAGCCATTCTCCCTAGCAGTTGGGACTACAGGCATGCACCACCATGCCTGGCTAATTTTTGTATTTTTAGTAGAGACAGGGTTTCACCATGCTGGCCAGGCTGGTTTCAAACTCCTGACCTCAGGAGTACTCACAGTCAAGTACTGGGGTCAGCAAGTATTTTTTTCTTTCTTTTTTTTTTTTTTTGAGACGGAGTTTCACTCCTTACCCAGGCTGGAGTGCAATGGCACGATCTCGGCTCACCGCAACCTCTGCCTCCTGGGTTCAGGCAATTCTCCTGCCTCAGCCTCCTGAGTAGCTGGGATTACAGGCACGTGCCACCATGCCCAGCTAATTTTTTGTATTTTTAGTAGAGACGGGGTTTCACCATGTTGACCAGGATGGTCTCGATCTCTTGACCTTGTGATCCACTTGCCTCGGTCTCCCAAAGTGCTGGGATTACGGCGTGAGCCACCGCGCCCAGCAGCAAGTATTTCTTAAAGGGCCAGATGATATCCACTGTTGAAACCACCCAGCTCTGCTGTTGCAGTGCAAAGGCAGCCACAGACAGTGGCTGTGGCCTGATCTACTCACCTCAGCCTCTCAGAGTGCTGGGATTCTAGGCATGAGGCACTATGCCTGGGTGACTGAATCTTACACGAACTGATGAGGTAAACTAGCTTAGCTTCATCTTGTAGATAAGGAAACTGAGGCACAGAGCGGCACTAGTCCCTGGCCACATGGAGGAAAGTGGCAGAGCTAAGCTGCAGGAATCCAACACTGAGTTTCTTTTTGTTGTTGTTTGTTTGTTTGTTTTTGAGAAGGAGTTTCACTCTTGTTACCCAGGCTGGAGTGCAATGGCGCGATCTCGGCTCACCGCAACCTCCGCCTCCTGGGTTCAGGCAGTTCTCCTGCCTCCGCCTCCTGAGTAGCTGGGATTACAGGCACGCGCCACCATGCCCAGCTAATTTTTTGTATTTTTTTTAGTAGAGACGGGGTTTCACCATGTTGACCAGGATGGTCTCCATCTCTTGACTTCGTGATCCACCTGCCTCTGCCTCCCAAAGTGCTGGGATTACAAGCTTGAGCCACCGCGCCCAGCCAGCACTGAGTTTCCTAACCCATGTTCACAGTCAGGCACCCTTACTGCCTTTCTTGGAGGCATTGAATGAATGAGTCAATCTGCTGAACGAATGAATGTGGTCTCTTCCCTGCAAGTGAAGCTCTTTGTGAGAGCACACCCTGGTGGCCCCACTGCACCCCAACTTCCTGCTCTTGTGAGCCAGGGCCAGTGACTTCACTGGTCTGAAATTCAGTTGCCTCAGCTCACAGTTACAATATGTATGTCATGGGGCTGTTTGCATCCACAGGATGCAAACTCATGCATTCCATGGTTATCCCTTGATTATCTGCTCTGCCAGGTCCTGTGCTAGGGGCACAGCTAGGAATGAGACAGACCTGGTTCCTGCCCTCAGGGAAATCACTCCTGAGTATATACTGGGTCTATGAGGCCAAACCCAGTAAAGCCCCCAGTAAATATCTATCTTCATGACTTCCAGGCAAGTATACCCGGGAAGCCCACCAGGGTAGCCAAGCTAGCAGCCTGGTCACCAATGCATCATCTGACCCAACTCCAGAACTCAGGATCCTCTTCCCCCATTAGACAGGAAAGTCGGGGGATAAGTAGGGGCAGTTGGTGTGCAGGCCACCTCCCCTCCCTCTGAGGGGTCCTCAATAGGCTTGCCCGGTCAGGCACATAGCAGGAGGGCTTACGTCCTATTCGCGACCCCACTCACTCACCAATTCGCTCAATCCTCGTCACATCGCGGATCTCCGGGACTTTAGTGGCTGTCTGGGGGGTGCAGGAAGACGTGTCAGAGGACTAGTATGGTCCCAGCTTTCACCAGCCCCGCCTCTGTCCCTCCCGTGAGACAGTCCTTTCCACTCCTTCCCCTCAGAGGCAGGCGGTGGGCCCAGCACCGGTCACCCCCACCCCTTGTGCCTGTCACGGCCTCATGGCTGGTTGGTTGAGCCCCAGGAAGACAAGGACTGCCTGTCTCATTCACAGCTCTGTCCTCAGGGTCCAGCATGTATTTGGTTATTTGATGAATGAATGAAGTCTTCCTCGTTTCGTTTTCTTTCTTTCTTTCTTTCTTTCTTTTTTTAAAGACAGAGTTTCACCATGTTGGTCAGGCTGGTTTTGAACTCCCAACCTCAAGTGATCCGCCACCTTGGCCTCCAAAGTGCTTGGATTACAAGCATGAGCCACCAGGCCTGACCATCTTTTCTTTTTTTGAGACAAAGTCTCACTCTGTCACCCAGGCTGGAGTGCAGTGGCCCAGTCTCAGCTCACTGCAACCTCTGCCTCCCAGGTTCAAGTGATTCTCCTGCCTCAGCCTCCTGAGTAGCTGGGACTACAGGCGCCCACCACCACACCTGGCTAATTTTTTCATATTTTTAGTAGAGACGGGATTTTGTCATGTTGGCAAGGCTGGTCTCAAACTCCTGACCTAAGTGATCTGCTCACCATGGCCTTCCAAAGTGCTGGGATTACAGGCGTGTGTCACTGCGAAGTCCTCCCAATATCTAATAACCATGAGTTCCATAAGGACAGACACCAGTGAGGAGGAGGCATGGAGCTGGACATGGTCTGGCCCCTGCTAATTTCCCAGCATCCCTTGTACCAGGCGGCCCCACTTCTCAAGCACCAGGCCTTGCACGTGCTGGCCGCTGAGTCCAGACTGCTCTCCCTGCCTCCTCACTCAATTAGATCAAGTGTTGCCCCTAAGGGAGGCCCTTTCTGACCACCTCTGCCAGGCTACTTCTAGGACCTAGGGACATCAGACAGATGAAGGGACCCCCCGGGCACCTAGTCTCCCTATGTGACCTCACATTCCTGAGGGAGATGAGTGGATCAATATTCTCGGCTCCCAGGGACGTGCTATGAAGGCCACGGCCTATGTCTCTCTTGTTCACTCGGGACTCAGTGTCTGTGGTTTGCGTAAGTGATACTCTGAGGTGCCGAGCTCATTCAACAAGAATATACTGGCCGGGTATGGTGGCTCACGCCTGTAATCCCAGCACTTTGGGAGGCCAAGGCAGGTGGATCACTTGAGGTCAGGAGTTCGAAACCAGCCTGTCCAATATGGCGAACTCCCGTCTTTTTATAAAAAAAGAAAATAAACAAATAAAGAAGAGAGAAAAAAAGGAAGAATATAGTGAGGCCTCCCATGTTGGCAGTTCTCCAAAGAGAGGAGCCAGCTACCACCTCTTCTCACGTGGGGAAAGGAGGTGAGTAAACACCACCTGGGACAATTCAGGACCCCCTCTCCACGCCTGGAAATCCACACAAAACATGCACACAAGTGTTCACAGCAGCACTATTCACAACAGCCAAAAGGTAGAAACCACCCGCACGTCCATCCGCTGATAAATGGCAAACTAAAATGTGGTCTATCTGTGCAATGGAGTATTATTCAGCCATAAAAAGGAATGGAGGTCTGTCTTTCTTTTATTTTTTTTGAGATGGAGTCTCACTTTGTCCCCCAGACTGGAGTGCAACGGCGCAATCTCAGCTCACTGCAACCTCTGCCTCCCGGGTTCAAGCCATTCTCCTGCCTCAGCCTCCTGAGTAGCTGGGATTACAGGAATACACCACCATGCCAGCTAAATTTTTTTGTATTTTTTAGCAGAGATGGGGTTTCACCATGTTGGTCAGGCTGGTCTTGAACTCCTGACCTCAGGTGATCCACCTGCCTCACCTCCCAAAGTGTTGGGATTACAGGAGTGAGCCACGGTGTCCGGCCAGGAATGGAGTTTTGATATATGCTACAACGTGGATGAACTTTAAAAACATTATGCTACTTACTGTCAGGTCTCCACGTGCAGCCGGGACCCAGAAAGTCTGAAGTCCTGCCTGCCTCGGCTGATCGTCCCCCACCCCATGCCTGCATTTGCCATCATCCCTAATCACCCAGTGGTCCCCCGACAAGCCTCTCCCCCAACCCTGCCATCTTAACTGTTCTTATGATAATGTGAATACTCCTCGTCCCACCCTGCCATCTTAACTACTCTTCTGTCTGACCCCAGTGGGCAAATGACTGTCGGCGGCCTCCTGCCCCTCACAAGCCATGTCCTATTTGCAAGGGGCCCCACTGGAGGTGGGACTGCCCAACCCGCACTACTGACGCCCCAGCGGCACCTGGAGCCCAAGCTGGCTCCTTCCCGGGTCTCCTTGGCCTGGCCACTGAAGACTAACGCCACCCAGATGCTCTTGGAACATCACAGACGCGGAGCTACGGGTAACTCTTAAGGTGGAGAGTAAGTCCGTCCCCTGTCTCGTTGACACGGGGGGCTACCCAGTCCACTTTACCCTCTTTTCGAGGGCCAATTTCTCTGGCACCTATTATTGCTGTGGGAACTGACGGCCAAGCTTCTAGACCATCCAAAACCCCCAGCTTTGGTGTCGGCTAGGGCCACACTCCTTTTCCCACTCCTTCTTGGTCATTCCTACCTGCCCGGTCCCTTTATTAGGCCAAAATATCTTAACTAAATTGTCTGCTTCCTTAGCTATTCCTGGACTCCAGCCCTATCTCACAGCCACCCTTTCGCCGAGTTCCAAGCCCTTCCCACAACCCCCTCTCGTATCCCCAAATCTCAACCCCAGGGTCTGGGATGCATCTACACTGTCATTGGCCACTGAACATAAACCCATTATTATTCCACTAAAACCCAATCATCCCCACCCCGCCCAAAGGCAGTAACCCACCCTCAACAAGCTTTGCAAGGGCTGAAACCTGTTATCACCCGCCTGTTACAGCATGGCCTCCTAAAACCCACCAATTCTCCTTACAACACTCTTATCTTGCCTGTCCAAAAACTGGACAAGTCTCACCAGCTGGTTTTAGGACCTCCGCCTTATGGATCCAACTGTCCTCCCTACACATCCAGTGGTGCAGAACCCATGTACTCTCTGACCTCAGCTCCTCCGTCCACAACCCATTATTCTGCCCTTGATCTCAAAGATGCCTTTTCACTACCCCTCCACCTTTCCTCTCAGCCTCTCTTTGCCTTCACCTGAACTGACCCTGATACCCGACAGTCACAGCAATTCCCCTGGACCGTCCTGCCTCAGGGTTTCAGGGACAGCCCACACTACTTCAGTCAGGCCCCTCGAAACTCAATCTTTCTGCCCCTCGTCTTCCCATCTTATTCAATATGCAGGCGACCTTTTGCTGTGCAGCCCCGCTTATGAAACTTCTCAGCAAGACACTATCCTGCTTCGTCAGCACCTGTTTTTTTTGTTTGTTTTTTTTTTTTTGAGACCGAGTTTTGCTCTTGTTACCCAGGCTGGAGTGCAATGGCGTGATCTCGGCTCAACGCAACCTCCGCCTCCTGGGTTCAGGCAATTCTCCTGCCTCAGCCTCCTGAGTAGCTGGGATTAGTGGCACGTACCACCATGCCCAGCTAATTTTTTTGTATTTTTAGTAGAGACGGGGTTTCACCATGTTGACCAGGATGGTCTCGTCTCGATCTCTTGACCTCGTGATCCACCCGCCTCGGCCTCCCAAAGTGCTGGGATTACAGGCGTGAGCCACTGAACCCAGCCAGCACCCGTTTTTAAAAGGATATCGAGGCCAGGCACGGTGGCTCAATCCTGTAATCCCAGCACTTTGGGAGGCCGAGGTGGGTGGATCACGAGGTCAAGAGATCGAGACCATCCTCGTCAACATGGTGAAACCCCGTCTCTACTAAAAATACAAAAAAATTAGCTGGGCATGGTGGCGTGTGCCTGTAATCCCAGCTACTCAGGAGGCCGAGGCAGGAGAGTTGCCTGAACCCAGGAGGCGGAGGTTGCAGTGAGCCGAGATCGCGCCATTGCACTCCAGCCTGGGTAACAAGAGCGAAACTCCGTCTCAAAAAAAACAAAACGATATCGAGTGTCCCCTTCTAAGGCCCAGATTTCTCCCACGTCTGTCACCTATCTGGGCATCATCCTCACAAAACACCTGCGCTCCCCCTAGCGATGGGGTCCAGCTAAGCTCTGACACCCCAACCGCCTACCAAACAACAGCTTCTCTCCTTCCTGGGTGTGGTGGGCTACTTTCGCCTCTGGATGCCAGGTTTTGCTATTCTAACTAAGCCATTGTATAAACTCACTAAAAGAATAAATCCGCCGGGCGCGGTGGCTCAAGCCTGTAATCCCAGCACTTTGGGAGGCCGAGGCGGGTGGATCACGAGGTCGAGAGATCGAGACCATCCTGGTCAACATGGTGAAACCCCGTCTCTACTAAAAATACAAAAAAATAGCTCGGCATGGTGGCACGTGCCTGTAATCCCAGCTACTCAGGAGGCTGAGGCAGGAGGATTGCCTGAGCCCAGGAGGCGGAGGTTGCGGTGAGCCGAGATTGCGCCATTGCACTCCAGCCTGGGTAACAAGAGCGAAACTCCGTCTCAAAAAAAAAAAAAAAGAACAAATCCGTTCCTCACTCCTGGCTTTGCTCCTTAAAGACAGCTCTAAAAATTGCTTCCACCCTAGCTCTCCCTGACTTGTCTCAACCCTTTTCATTGTTGTGGCTGGAGTTCTGACATAAGAGCCATGTCCGAACCCGACTGCTTTCCTCTCTAGACAACTGGACCTCACCGTCCTAGGCTGGCCCCAGTGCGTGCGGGCCACCGCAGCAGCTGCTCCGGTTCTTCTGGAAATCTTCAAAATAACGGGCTACGCTTCACTGACTTTATACACTTTCCACAATCTCCAGGCTTTAACCTCCTCGTTTCATCTTCCACAGCTGCCATATGCCCCACGTCTGATTCAACTCTATTCACTCTTTACTGAAACTCCCACTGTGA